AAACCTTGGTACGAAGAAATATACCACAATTCCCATGAGTTAGGGCCCTTAGGGTAATGCAGGCTTTACATCATCAATAGTAGTAGTAGTAGTAGTAGTAGTAGTAGTAGTAGTAGTAGTACTAGTAGTCGTGGTGGCAGTGGCGCTGGTGGTAACACTGGTAGTAGTCGTCGCCATACCAGTAGTAGTAGTAGTAGTAGTAGTAGTAGTAGTAGTAGTCGTCGTCGTGGTAGCAGTGGCGGTGGTGGTAACACTAGTAGTAGTCGTCGTCGTCATACCACCAGTAGTAGTAGTAGTAGTAGTAGTAGTAGCAGTAGTAGTAGGAGTAATAGTGTTAGTCGCGGCAGCAGTAGTTTGTAGTAACTAGTAAATGGTAAGTAGTAAGTAGTAGAAGCAGCAGGAGAAGAGGAAGAGTTATGTTGACAACCGTCCATGGTGTGTTTGCTGTTACTGCTAGTGCTGCTGTTCTTGTTGTTGGTGTTGCTGTTGTCGTCGTCGTTGTAACCACTACGGCTGCACATCAAACTGAAGCGCTGCATTGATCTGAAGTATCCTCGGCCGGTGCCCATGAAAAAGGGTCACCTAATTCAAGGCAGTGCAACATTGGCGCCCAAAGAGCAGCAGAACTCAGCAGAACGCACAGATGAGTGCCCCGAAGCGCTGCATGGTCGTCAAAGACCAGGACAACAAGGTAACAACATGCTGTCCAGACCCCGGAGTGCAGTACCCTAGTCCTTCCGGGCAAGGGTCCTACCACCAGTCACCAAGACAACGACACAAGGACAAATACTACACGCACCCTGTGGACCAAATGGCCCTTAAAGTACAAAAAGTAATTAGGAACTCATTTCGTCTTTAAAGCAGGGGTCGAAATAGCATCGGTGGCGGGTCCCAAATACGAAACCGTGTGGGGGGTTCGAGACCCGCCGAGTTTAGGGTCTAGGGCATTTATAGGGTTCAGGCTTTAGGGTTTAAGGGTTTAGGGCTTGACGGTTTCGGGTTCAAGGGTTAGGGGCTTAGGGTTTAGGGTTAAAGGGTTTAGGGTTTCGGGTTGAAGCAACAGGCCCGACAGAGTACTCTCTCATAAAGTTGCAGAGACAAGATGCATGATAAGGAAAAGATGAGTCAGCAGATATAGAAACTATACATAATGTACAAATACATACATATGTGTACATATACATATATATATATATATATATACACATATACACACACACTATTTGGTGAATGTGTATATACACTCATGATTGAACTTAGACCGGCTGAAGGATACAGATCGCTTGCCAAGGGCTTCTGGTCACACTTACGGCAGCTTGTGCGGAGTTGCAGCATGGTTTAGAGTTTAGGGTCTGGAATTTAGGATTTAGGGTTTAGGGTTTTGGGTGGTGTGTTGATTTGTAGCTTCAGGGTTCAGCGTTAAGGTTTCAGGGTTTACAAGAGGCTTTACTTGTAACATATTGCACTTCAGGCTCTATAAGAAAAAGGAAGCCGTTGGGACGTTGGGTATCAACAAGATGCATCTTGCTATGCCTTTGTCAAATCGACCTAGTCCCTAAACCCCGGCCCTAAAACCGCGAATTGCTTAAGATGACGACTGAGGTGCCGGTAGGGCGTGGCCGCGGGCTGTCCGTACTGACCCGCCGGGTGATAGTTGGTGTAGCCGTTTTCTCCAGGTCCTGGCTGAGATTGCTGCCCTGGCTGTGGCATTGGAGCCTGCTGTGTTTGGGCCTGCGGCGGCATTGGCGGCTGCGGCATCTGTGGCTGCTGCATTTGCTGCTGCTGCTGCTGCTGTTGCATCGGCATCTGTGGTGGCATCTGCGGCTGCATCGGCTGCGGCATCTGTGGATGCGTCGCCGGCGTTGGCATGTTCGGCTGCGACTGCATATGAGATACGCCGGCAAAACCAGCCCAAGGATTCTCGGCTCCAGGCTGCGGGCCGGGGGGGTGCGCCGGTTGCGTGGCCTGCTGCGGCATCTGTGGCGCAGGTGGTGGGGCATGCATGGGTTGGTAATTCGACCAGGCAGGATGCGACGCAGCGCCTGGAGGGCCCTGGGGGCCCTGAGGGCCTTGAGGGCCTTGAGCTTGCATTCCTGGGCTTTGAAGTAACCAGGGATACAAACGTATAGACTTTTATTTCATAATGGTTTCTTTAAGGAACAGGTCCCCCAAAATAAATATTAAAGTATGGTACTCCAAAGCCGAGATTCCTTGTGTCTGCGAGGCCATCTGCGGAGCTGCCGCTAGGGGCTCCCCGGAGCTCGGCTCGTTGTTCCCCTTTGAGAGCCTAGGAGGACTGCAGAAAGGGAAAAGCATGCAAATGCAATGACAGAGTCTGTCTTCTCGTGCTTGTTGGGTGGACCCTGCAAGGAAATAATCTTATAAGCATCGAACAGACAAACTGAATCATCGTAATTGCTCCCAAACCGAGCAACTCTATGGCCCCATCCAGCTCGTTTATGCGGATCCATCCGCCCATAATCCTCCACTTGTTCCAGGCTCTGGGGCGAACCTTCTCTATACCTTGATCTGTGAGTTTGAGGTTCGCTTTCGGGACCCGTGACATGGAGTTGATAAGGGAGGAGATAGGATTACTGCAGGGGGACCTTTCGGGAGATGGACCCTCTCGATAAGGTCCCTTCTAAGAGAGCCATAAGTAGGGTTAAAGAGGGTCCCCTTCAAGGGGTCTGCCTAATAATACTACCTAGGAGGAGTTGAGAAGGTTTCCTTTAACAAGCTTTTATATGATTGACAAGGTCTTGCCGAGGGAAGCACGGGCGCTTTTACAGTTCGGTTTCGGGTCGCTCTAGTGACAGAAGGGACAACCTGTCAAGCTTTCGCCTCTGCAGGCTTGAGCGTTGAGTGCCAGAAAACAAGCTTAATGTAGGGGCCTTGATACTCAGAAAGGGGGTTTTGGGCCCATTATACTATATTTACACTAAGGAACCCCCGGAATAATATTGGTAGTTATTTCGAGCCTATGGTACCAAATGCGAGCTCGGATGCACACACCTTCGCCTGTGAACTCTGGGTAAAGAGCTCGCCAGTGTTTGTCTGCACCCAAGTGTTCAGCGTATCCCCTGTGACGCTCACAGAAGCTGCACTGTGGGTCAATCGGCGCTGGCTGATTATACCTCGACAGGTCAGGGTCGCTTACCAAGTAAGCTGAGCTGTCGGAGCCTAGGATACGAAGACCGCATGCTATCAAACAACACCTGAAACTGTCAGTCTTTCGTATGAATGTGGCATACAAAAATGTGTGTGCAGCAACTACTTTTGAAACGGCGCACATCATTTGTACATACATACATACATACATACATACATACATACATACATACACCGTAGATATACATTGCCAGACATACATATATGTACATACGCACATACATACTTCATTCATACTCACGTACATACAGACATACATACATATATGCATACGCAGATACCTATACACCTGAGTAAGTATGCACCACACGCAATGCGCGCACACAAACGCAAACATCTATGTGTGTGTATATATGCATGCTTACATTTACATCTACATATTTACATGCATGCATGCTTGCACACAAGCATGCATGCTTTTGCACATAGACACCTACACAGATACAAACAAAGAGACACACATACATGCATGCACACATACATACATACGAACATACATGCATACATGCATACATACACACATACGCACATACATACATACGTACATACATACATGCATACATACATATAAAACATAACACACACCATAATATAAACGTTACACAACATCAACTAACATAAGATAGCATGACACAGCATAACACAACACACCATAGAGTGGCATAGCCTCATGTAACATAACACAATGCATCATAATATAACGTAACAAACAGTTATACATACATACATACATACATACATACATACATACATACATACATATATATATATATATATATATATTTATATGTATGTATACGTATGTATGATATGTATGATATGCATGTAAGATGTATA